TGCCCATCTGCAGCCCGATGACGCTCTGTCCCTCCTTCAGCTTGTCCTCGGAGAAGACGCGCCGGTTCTCCTGTGATTTCCTGCAGACGTCGCAGGTGTCAGTGTGTCCCCCCCCTGCCCCAAGGGACCCCACCACCCGGCACCCCCTCCCCAGCACCCGCCACCTACTTGGGGAACCAGTTGGGGTCTCCCACGAAGAGCCCGTCGCCCTTGGCCACAGCCAGGCTGCCCAGGTTCATCAGGGTCCTCTGCACGCACGCCATGTTCTTCCCTGCAAGGCCCCAGGCAGGCTCAGCCCCGTCCCCGTCCATCCCCGTCCCCGTCCCCTGCACCCCCCCGGCCGCTCACCTTCCCAGAGGTCGACGGTCTGGAAGATGTCGGTGGCGGCGATGCCGTAGCGCTCAGCCGCCTGCAGGAACTGCGAGATCTGTTCCATCTGCTTGAAGGCCATGGTGGACGCCTGGATCTTGGCCACCGGTCCCTGGCCCCGCGGGTGCAGGCTGTTGATGAGCCTGCACAGCACCTGGCCGGGAGGGAGCCGGGGGTCAGGTGGGACGACGCGGCAGCCCCGTGGCACGGCAGCCCCCCGTCCTGGCTGGCCCCCGGGGGGTACTCACGGTGCCGTCCTTCAGCCACTGCTGGAAGCCGTCCCTGCCGGATGCCGGCTGCGTGACGTCCCCACCGCACTGTGCCAGGATCCACCGCACCAGGATCTGCTCCAGCTCGGGGTCGTACTGCCGGTCGATCTTCTGCTGCACCTCCCGGCTGAGGCCGTATGAGGGTCCCCGGTTTGCCATGCTGACGGCGGGGGGGAGGTCTGCAGAGGTAGGACCCCCGTCAGCAGCTCTGGTGGCACCCGGGAATCCAGTGTGGCCCCGTGCCCACAGCGTGGTGGTTGGGGACAGCAAGGGACAGCAGGCACAGTAGCTGCTCCCCAGCAGGGTGGCAGAGCCCCATCCAGCCCGGCCGGGCTGCCTGGACGTCCGGCACGGAGCCTTATCACCGGTGCCAGCCGCTGCCCGGGCTCTGCCCTGCCCTGCCAGCTTCCTGCCCTGCCGGCCAGGAGGGGGTCATGGGTCCGTGCCCACCCAAGGGCAACAGGGCGATTTGGCCTTGGGCAGGGTGGGCAGCACCGTGCCCTCTTCATGCCAGGGCCGGACCCCTCGCCCCGAGCATCCCTGTCCCGGCAGCTCGGCCCCGCCAAGCACGGACTTGGCAGGCGCTCGCTGCCGGTCGAAGCTTGTTTGCAAATCTCACCCGTTTGCTCGGGCCGGGTGCCAGATCCGGGACCGGCTTGGGAGTACAGGGCCCAGGGACACAGGCAGCAGTGCCCCCCCCCCCGGCAGGGGAGCCGGACCCAGCTGTGGCCAGGCACCACCCTTGCCAAGGTGCCACCGGAGCCGGTGCCACCTGTACTGGGGAGGATGGAGGTTGTGCAGGTGCCTGCGGGGGGGGGACGCACAGGGACCAGCGCTGCCCAGCCCATGCAGCCCCGGTGCTCCAGGCACTAGGGAGGTCTGGACCCCCTCTGCCCACCAGCGACGGGCACGTGGGTCTCCCTGGGCCGTGCATGGCCCCCCGTGCCCGGTCCTGCACCCCTGGCATTTGGGGGGCACAGAGCACGTGCTGCTCCCCCAGGGGTGCAGGTGCCCCTGCCAGCCCGGGTGCCTGCGCCCCAGCTGGGGACATGTGGCCGCTGCCAGCCGGGGGGGCAGCCCAGCCCCACGCTGGGGGGGATCCCTGTCTCGGTTTGGGACAGGGCTCGACCCTGTCACCCGCCTGGGGCTCCTGTCACCAGGAGCAGCCAGGGGACGAGCCACCCTGGCACAGGAGGAAAATCAGCTCCAAGCCCCCGGGGGAAGCCGGCGGCCGCCGCGGGAAGGCTCATTGCTGTGGCCGCTCCACAACCGCCTCGGGCTAGCACAGCATCCCCCGAAAGCCGGTGGCCACTGTGGGGGCTCCCCGGGGCGAGGGCTGGGGCGCGGGCAGCCCCCGCGGGGAGGGATCCGGCCCCCCCCGGGGCGAGGGGAGCGCCCGGCCGGGGGCCAAGGCAGTTGGGAAACAAAGAGGAGCTGAAATTGGTGCAGACAGGGCTGATTTCCCGACACAGCTGGGGCTTGCCCAGACGGGAGGGGAGGGCCGGACCCAGCCCAGCCGCGCCACCGCCGCGCCGGGACCCCGCGGGAGGGGGCGGCACCCCCCCCCACCCCCCCCGCCCACAGCAGCCCCGGGGACGGCGGGGAGGGGACCGTGGTCGACCACGGCCACCCTGGGGACCCTCCGGGCGTCCCGGGGACAGCGGGGAGGGGATCCCGGCTGGGATGCAGCCACCCTGGGGACCCCTTAGGGTCTATGGGGTCTATAGAGGGGGCTATACCCAGCCCAACTGGGACCACGCCACCCCGGGGACCCCATGGACGCCCCCAGTGCCAGCGGGGAGGGGATGGCACCCAGGGCGCGGCCACCCTGGGGTCCCCAGGGACCCCCGGGGGAGGAGCGGGGAAGGGACCCCCGACAGGGACCCCGGAGTCAGCCACGGGGAAGTGGCCAATGGAGGACAGGGCTACCCGGGGGACCCCGCAGGCACCGGGGGGGGGCACCGGGGAGGGGACTGGACCCAGCCTGGCCAGGACACGGCCACCCCGGGGCCAACGGGGAGGCGACCGGGGCTCGG